ATATATATATATATATATATATATATATAGGGGACCTACAAAATTTAAAACAGCTTATTTTTGTGTTTAATTTTGTTCCTAAACTACAACTAAATATAGATCACAGCAATATTTGATGTCAGTATTTTTTTTTTACTGAAAGTTTCCATTCCATTCCATTGTGGGCGCAAGGGCATAAAAATCTCACTGTTTAAACCTGACGCAAGAAAATGTGCCAAGAAACTGAGCCGATAAAACAACAAAGAGCTTCCTGTGGGTGGGTTTCCATGGGCTAGAATGACTGAAAAGAGAGCATGACGACATTATGCTGGAAAAATGCACACAAGTGCTTTCACTTTCAGAGAAGAAATTCACACTCACAGTGAACCATCAGAAGAGTCCCAAACTAAACTATACACACAAAAACATCTCAAAGTCAGGCAAAACAGGATTTGAGAAGCATCAAATCATGACCACGTCTCAAAAATGAGCATTTTTGGCGCACTTCATGTTTTGAATAGGCCTAGGCTGTTGACATACTTTATTGATTGACAGGTCTTTACTTAATGTCGGTCATGAGTGATTTAGTGAAGGCTGTTCTAGGCTGACAGGTGCTGCGAGTTCCTGGAAAGCAGCTACTGACTAATAACCAAACTCTCCGATTACGGTCTGGTTTTGTGCGGGAAGTGATCTAGTGGTTTCAAATCAACGAAAGCAGCCTCATTATAACCTCCTGCACATTTGTGTGAGGTGTTTGACATTCAACCAGAGGAGATTTTGATGATGCCAGCATTTCCTTGGCAAAGATAAAAACTGCTGTTGCAATGATGCCAATAGAAATAAGACATTTAGTAGTTAAAACCCTTATTATTCATTTTAGATGTTTGTATATATAAACAATGTTTTTACAATGTTTATATTAATTATTTGATATATTTTAAGCAATTATAATATTATTTTATAATAATTGTATATATATATATATATGATATAAACTGCCGTTCAGAAGTTGTTTGGAAAAATTGTTTGATGTTTTTGAAAAAAGTCTCTTATGCTCACCAAGGCTGTATTTATTTGGTCAAAAATACAGTAAAAATAGTAATATTGTGAAAAATTATTACCATTTAAAAGAACCATTTTCTAACTGAATATATTTTAAAATGTAATTTATTCCTGTGATCAAAGCTGA